AATTAGAAACTCCAAAACAAAATATGACGAGCATATGGAGCTGCTGCTGTTGGGTGACAACGAGGGTGGTAACCACTACGTTCTAATAAAGGATGTAAACAGAATGCTCTTCAGTGTTAGCGGAAACTCAAACAAGAAACACTTCTGCCTACACTGCCTTCACAGTTGCGTTAGTGAGGAGTCACTGGAAAAACATCGTGAAACATGTATTGAGGTAAATGGAACTCAAGCCACAAAGCTTCCGAGTGAGGGTACAAAAATAAAGTTCAAAAACCATAGGAACTCAATGCCCGCACCATTTGTAATATACGCCGATTTTGAGTCCATACTAGTTCCAGAAGAGAGAAAACTTGATTCTGAAGACCCTGAGGATAAGAGTACTACAGAACTATACCAGACCCACAAGGCCTGTAGTTTTGGGCTTAAAACAGTGTGCCACTACGATGACCAGTACTCCGGTGAATATATAAGCTACGTTGGTGAAGACGCCACAGTGGTCTTTTTGAAGACCGTACTGAAGGAGTCCATTAAGTGCCGAGAGATGGTAAACAAAATATTTAAGAAAAAGATGGAAATCACACCAGAGCAAGAAGCTGAGTTCTGGATGACAAGGAACTGCTCCATATGTGGCAACGACTTAGGTGATGACAGAGTGAGAGACCACGACCACGTAACTGGACTGTACCGTGGAGCTGCCCATAATATGTGCAACCTAAAATATAGAATCACATGGAAAGTTCCAGTGGTCTTCCACAACCTAAGAGGTTATGATAGCCATCTAATAATGCAGGAAATCGGTAAGTTTAAGATGAACATCAACGTGGTCCCAAATAACATGGAAAAATACATTTCCTTCTCACTTGGTAAAAGTCTTGTGTTCATTGACTCAATACAATTCATGGCTTCTTCCCTGGAGGCACTTGTGAGTAACCTTTCACCTGAAGACTTTAAGATAGTCGGTCAGCGGTGGCAAGGTGAGGACTTCGATCTTGTAAGACAGAAAGGTATATTTCCATATGAATACTTAGATGACATAAGTAAACTTGACACTGAGGGACTTCCAAGTAAAGACAAGTTCTACTCATCTCTATACGAGTCTGAAGTGAAAGAAGAAGATTACCAAAGGGCTCTAAAAGTTTGGGATCACTTTAAGATGAAAACAATGAGGGACTACCACGATCTCTACCTGGAAACTGACGTTCTTCTTCTAGCAGATGTTTTCGAGAATTTCAGGAAGACCTGCTTGGAGAATTACAAGCTTGACCCTGCTCACTACATATCAGCACCTAGTCTAAGTTGGGACGCATTCCTAAAACAGTCAGGAGAGGAAATAGAATTGGTAAGCGATATGGATATGTTCCAGTTCTTTGAGAAGGGAATGAGAGGTGGGGTAAGTCATATTGCTCATAGACACTCCACAGCAAATAATAAGTACATGGAAACGTACGACGAGACATCTGAAAATAAGTTCCTTATGTACCTCGACGCCAACAATTTATATGGCTGGGCAATGTCTCAACCTCTTCCAAATGGAGAGTTTGAGTGGATCGAGGAAGTCGATAAAATAAATATCAACGACTACTTAGGAGACAGTGGAAGGGGTATGGTTCTTGAGGTTGATATGGAATATCCAGAAGAACTTCACGATATACATAACGGTTATCCTCTAGCTCCAGAAAGTAAGGAGATCGATGTGTCAATGTTATCGGACTACGCAAAGGATATTGCCGATAAATTCCAGCTGACAATTGGAGGTGTACGGAAACTGGTGAACTCCTTAGGCCCTAGGAAGAATTACGTTCTACATGTCAGGAATCTGAAACTCTACATGGAACTGGGAATGAAACTTATAAAGGTTCACAGAGCAGTCTCCTTCAAGCAGTCAACTTGGTTGAAAAAATATATTGACTTCAATACTCAAAAACGCTCAGTCGCTAAGAATGCGTTTGAGAAAAACTTCTTCAAGCTTATGAATAATTCCATCTACGGAAAGACTATGGAAAATTTGAGGAAGAGAGTTGATGTGAAGTTGGTGTCATCAAAAAACGATCTCCTTAAACTGACTGCATCTCCATGCTTCCAGTCACATAGGATTATGAATGAGAATCTGATCGTGGTAAAGAGAATGAAGGAAGTGTTAACCTTAAACAAGCCGTGTTATGTGGGAATGAGTATCTTAGATTTATCCAAGACCCTAATGTACGACTTCCACTACAACACAATCAAGAAAGAATACGGTGACAAGTCGAAGCTACTCTTCACAGACACTGACAGTCTAATGTATGAGATTAAGACTGATGACGTGTACGAGGACTTCAAGAGGATCGGTGAGAAGGAAGACTGTTGGGACAACTCAGATTATCCGAAAGATTCTCCGTACCACTCAGCTCACAATAAGAAGGTGATCGGAAAGTTTAAGGATGAAGCAGCAGGAGTACCAGTGATAGAATTCATAGGGTTATGGTCAAAGATGTACTCTTATGTAAAGGAGAGCGGCGGAGGTGGAATGACAGCTAAAGGTGTGAAAAAGTACGTGATTAGAAACAAGCTCACTCATGAAAACTTTAAGAACGTAATTAAGACCAAAGGTAGGATGAGACATAAGATGAACACAATCAGAAGCATCAAACATAAAATTGGAACTTACCAACTAAAGAAAATTACACTCAGCTGTTTTGATGACAAAAGATACCTACTTGAAGATGGTGTTACAAGTTACGCGTACGGACATCACTCAATAGAAAAAGTAAATTGTTAAATAATGTTGAAAAAATAATAGAAAAAATAATGCCAAAAATAACGCCAAAAATAATAGAAAAAATAATGCCAAAAAGACCAGATAAAATGGTCTAGAAAAATATGAGCCCGCGGTGGTGGGGGAAAATATGGAAACCGCTGACCGGAAGTTGGGTGAGATCGCGGGCCGAAAAAGTGGTCTAGAACCCTCATTCCCTATACTACTCCTTGTTGATCAGGATAACTTCCGAATAATATCGCAAGTAGAATGGCACGCGAAAAGCCGAAAACAAGACAAAATCAAGATATTTTTGAAGCCAAAATGTGAAAATGGCAAAGAATAACACGAGGTCAAACTACGCCCATTCGTAGGTTAGATGCCGGCACGACGTAAACAATCGATGTAAACTGATCGCTGATAGGCTTAAAGTGGCTTAAATTATATAAGCTCGTCGCTGAATGGCTATGTGTTAACATACGGTACGGTACGGTCACGTTTGTGATAGCAATATATCTGCTTCGCGGATACAAAAATATGGCCGGGTGTAAATCCAGTGCTTCCACTTTCACTTTCAAAAAAATAATTTCCTTCCCAACTGCTCAAAATTTCCTTATTTTTGACAAAAATTCCTTGCACTAGGGAAGATGAATTTTACCTTGTTTAAAACTGATGTTACAATAATTTATCCTGAATGACGGTGTGTTTCTCGGGCGAGAAACACCACAAACGTTGCAATTATAAATTATATATTAATTATAAAAAACTGCAACAGGAGGCTTGAGGTCATGCCTCGGAAATTTTTCAGATTTTCCATTCCTCAGGAGTAGGATTTGGATATTCAACATTTCCTGATGCGAATTTGCTTGGGAATTGCTATAATCTTAGGATTTATTAGAAATAACGTAATATCCTTATTTCCTTGCTGAAAACAAAATTCCTTGCCGTTTCCTAGCAAATTTTTTTTCTTTGTAAGTGGAAGCACTGCATGGGATGACCAGTGGGGATGACGCTGTATGCAATAGTTGAAGCCTCCCCCTTTTCTCACCATCCGCCCCTCACACCCCCTTCCATTATTAGTGATTGGTCCCTTATCTATGTAAATGTAAAATACGGTTCTATTTTATTTCATTTTGCTAAGTAGGAAAATTCAGTATGTTTTAATTTAAACAGACTATTTATACATGTCTGCAAATTGTAATCCTGAGTTCCTGTAAATGTAAAATAGGATTAAAATAGTGTATTTTATTATATTTTGCAAATTAGGGAAAGTAAATGAAAGGATAAAAGGATAACATAAAGGAAAATGTAAAATAGGTTTAAAATAGTATATTTTATCCCTATTTGAAAAATGTGGCATTTTTAAAAATGTGAAATAGGTTTAAAATAGTCTATTTTATTCTGTTTTGCGTATTCTGAAAAATAAATACAGTCGAACCCCTGTCGGGAATGCCGTTAGGGGCTAAATGTTAAGCCAACACAGTCACAATAGTTTGGTTTTTCTCTCTAATCACTTTACGAATCACAAAATCACTAGGAGATCGGGATTTTCGATTTGATGCTCTGGTTGTTCTGGTAATATTTTGGTCGGCCGAATTGCAACGTTTTCGGTGTTAGTAAGGGCAGTTGGACGTCTTCTTCTACGTAGCTGAGAGGTCGGTTGTTTAAAGTCACTTCCACGTCCAGGATGACATCTTCCAACTCCGTCCAGGAGAGAAACCCGTTACCAATGGACTTGTACATAGCTTGTTTTACAAGTCCAATCAACCGCTCGTACTGTCCGCCCCACCAAGGAGCTCGACTCATGTTGAATTGCCACTTGATCGACATCTTAGCCAGGAAATCATTAAACTTTTTGTCCTTCATAACTTGCTTTATCCACTTCGCCCCGGCAACAAATGTCTTCGCGTTATCCGAATACACTTTCAATGGGCGCCCTTTCTTCGCGACGAATCGTTTGAATGTTGAAAGGAATTCTTCTGTACTCATGGTCTTCGTTAACTCGAGATACATCGCACGGGTCAAAGAACACGCATATACGGTTATATAGGCCTTGCCTTCTTGCTTTCCCCGTTTCTGGTACCTAATTGGACCCGTGTAGTCGACCCCTACGACTTGGAAAGGCAAATCACCCTCAGTCCGATCTTTCGGTAATTTCCCAGGTTGTGGGTTTGGAAAATGTGTTGCATGGAACCGTCTACATCCGAAACAGTTCTTGATAACTCTTCTAGTAAGTCTCCTCAGTCGTGGAATCCAGTGGCTCTCTCGTACCTTAGCCATAGTCGGACCCACTCCCCCATGGAGGGTCACATCGTGGGCATGTTCCACTAGTTTCTCGATGTACATGTCATTGTCTGGGAGGTAGGTTGGGAAGTCTACTTGTATTCGGCCATGACATTCAAGAATGCCACCATCACTCGGCTTAAGTATTTCTCGTTTGGATGCTTGTGCTTTTCCGGACGGTATCTCGATTTTTATGACGTCATCTTTCTTGTCCCAGGAAAGACCGAGTAGTGCTGATTGGCCCGATTTGACCCCAAGCTGCTGTTTCGCGAATGTCTCTCCAGTGGACGATGGTAAATGGGTTTGTGCGTCTTCAAGAGCAGGGACGTTTGAATGCCACTTATGGAGCTGAAATGTCGCGTCGTTAAAGATCTCACGGGCCGTTTCTTTGAGTTGTTGGGCTTTCTCGATTGTTTCTCCACCGCTGACCAAATCGTCGACATACAAACTCTTGTTGATTTCTTTCACGGTTTCCGGATGTTGTTCTACATGTTTCTTGAGATGTTGTTGGATAACACCACCGAGTAGGAATGGGGAAGGAGACAGTCCGAACAGGGCTCTTGTGAAGCGAAGTGTCACTACTTCCTTGGTCTTCAAGTCCTTGAACCAATGAAACCGCATGACGTCACGATCTTCTTCACGTATTCCAACCTGCAGGGGTGGTCCCGTTTCAAGACATCCATTCAAGGAAGGAGCATTCTGGTTGTCTCGTGCTGATGCGTCGTGCACAATTCTTAGTTTTGTTGTTTCTGCTGATTCTCTAATCACTGCTTTATGGGGTAAGTAGAACTCTCTATCTTGTGCTTCTGTATTGACCTTTTCTACGATCCCTTCCTTGATCTGCTCTTTGATAATCTCGTCACACTGTTCGATAATGTTCTGTTTGTCTAATTTTTTGACTAGGTTGTCTAGACGTTTTAAACTTCCGGATTTGTTGTTGGGTAAGGGGAGATGGTTTCCCTTCCACGGTAAACTGGTCTCGTACTAGCCCTCCTCGCTTCTCGTTAGTTGTTCTTTAAACTCGCTGTAAACATTTTGCTGATCCCCTGTTGCGGAATCTCGTAAACCTAAGACATCTAATATACATAACTGTTCGTAATCTTCGCGATGTACTTGGGTTAAAAGCATGTTATTCAGATTTATTTCCTCACCGGGGGACATGATTGTCCAGCCAAATTTTGTGAGCTCAGCGACAGGCTCACCGGGGGATCCAACCCTTGGTTTTGACGGTGTTTTAATCTTTGAGTAGTCCCCGGTCCCTAGGATTAGATGCACGGGCAGGCGTTCTTTCTCGTCTTTATCTGGCATAATTACTCCTTCAAGATGTGAGTAATTAGCGATAATCTCTTTATACTTTGGATTATCCAGTGTCAACAGTTCATTTCTCTCGACTCGGGTTACCTCGGTCTCAATATGAAATTTATTACTCGTGTCGCTTATTTTTATATTATAAATTCCAACCATTTTTGTTGAAGTGCCAAACATCATTTCAACGCAACAGATTTCTTTCTTTTGGGGTTGAGCTTTTATGGTGTCAAGGACAGGGCATTTTTTAAGAATTCGTCAGTGGGGGGGCCATCTACAAAAAGGACCATACTATACCGAGTGTGGAGCAATCATAGATGGTTTGTTGGTAACAAAAAGTTTGGTGTGGTATCGCATTTAATAGTAGGGGGGGAGGGAGAGCAGGGCCGTAGGAAGCTCTTTTCGTTTGGGGGGGGGGGCTGAAAGCGAGGGCCGAAGGCCCGAGGAAATTTTTAAATTTAGAGTCTCTGAAATGCCATTTCCTGGACTTTGGAGAAGATTTGACAGATCTCTGATTGTCAGAAAACAGCGTTTTTAGTATGTGGAAATTTAGAATTCAGTAGAACTAAATGGGCGAAGGTGTATTTAATTAACGATATATTGGATAATATACCCTGGAGAGGGTCTGGGGTTTTCTCTCCCAGAAAATTTTTGTATTTTTCTACCCCTATGACTGCAATTCCCTGCATTTTCTGAAACAGATTTTTGGATATACAGCATTACATTATGCTGTAGATAGACTGAACCTTCAGTTAAGTATTTGCATAGTATGTTTATGTAGATACCACAACTTGGCCGTCACTTAGGGAGCCAGCTTGATAAACTTAGAGTTCCCGACTCCCACGAAGCGCCACCATGGTTGGCACAGAGCGGAAAAATTTTGAAAATTTTGCGTCTCTAAATCGTCGGAAATGGCATTTTCAAAGTCTTGTATACGTCTTTTGTTAGGCCATTTCATTAATTCGTTCATTATGATTTGCGAGTCTATGATATCCGCGAGTCATGATGGATTATTACGAGAAATGTTATCAAAATATCGATTACAGATATTTGATTATATGTATATATGATTTCAAATACTTCTAGTTTCGAAATCAAATTGTTTTTTTTTTGGTGGGGGGTGGGGGGCAAAATTATCCCCCCTTATAAAACACTTGGTTGAGGGCCTGCTGCCCCCTGCGGTCACTAACTTGTCCAACAACTCAAA